ACTCCATCTCTTCTCTAGCCCGTGCCACGCCCGCTTAGCCCCCTCAATCCGGCCAAACAAAAGCTGTTTCGGCATGCGGTGGCTGGGCATGCGGGCTACATGACCCAGCCATCGCAGCCTTGCCTGCCGGAGGAGCTCACCGATGGGACCTTGCCCAGATCTTTCAAGGATTTGTGAGCTCCTCACACAATCCAGTCTGGTTAAACCCAGGATGGATCGTAGGCAGGCCAGCCTAAATGTTTCTAACCGGCGAAGATGTTCCATTAGGGGGGTCCACGTTTCGCAAGCGTAGAGAAGGGAGGGAATGACCGTGGCCGAGAAGACCTGAAGCTTAGTGCGGAGCGACAGACCAGGTAGCTTCCACACAGCGTTACGCAACCGATGAAAAGATATTGCCGCTCGACTGATTCAGAGTGAGACCTCTGCTGTTAAACTGGAGCCAGTCATAAGCACACTGCCCAAGTATGGGAAACTCTCCACTCTCTCCACAACTGCCCCATCACCGATCGGGAGTTGTGGGGGTGGAGTGTCCGATGGTACAAAATACCCAGGCAGGTGCTTAGTTTTGGTGGGGCTGATGGTAAGGCCCCACCTCTTAGTGGCACGCTCCAGTCTCAACAGCAGCGTCTCCAACTCCTCCTCTGACTGAGCAGCTATTACCAAATCATCAGCATACATAACGTGGTTGAGCAATAGGGAGCCATCCCTTGACCGCACCCGGTTATCGATCAGCCTCCCATTATATCTGTACCATATGGAGAGTCCCCCGGTACAGCTATTGAAGGCGTCACGAACTACGTGGTCAAAATAGATGTTAAATAATGTGGGAGCCAGAGGACATCCCTGTCGCACCCCAAGGTGTACAGGGAATGGCTCTGACTCCCGGCCACGTAGTTTTACCCGGGCCCGCTCACCATCATGAAGGTCCTTAATGATCGTGAGCAGAGGGTCAGGTACTCCAAAAGCACGAAGAACGACCCAGAGCCCAGGCCTACTGATGGTATCATAGGCCTTGACCAGGTCAATAAAGCAGAGATGTAGGTCTTGTTGGAATTCTCTACACCTCTGCTGTAGCAGACGGACAGAAAATATGGCATCTGTGCAGGACCGCCCTTTCCTGAAACCGCATTGGGGCTCCGCAAGCCTCTCCTCAGCGTGTCTGGCAAGGCGATGTTGAATAATCCTTGCCAGGACCTTTCCCGGCACACTGAGGAGTGAGATGCCCCTGTAGTTGTTAGTCTTTTTAAGAAGGGGGACCACCAGGGCATCCTTCCAATCCTGCGGAACCCGTCCAGTGGTCCAGACTGTTGTTATGATGTCATGTAGGGCAGTCTGTGCACAAACGCTGCCCTCCCTCAGCATTTCGCTTGGGAGATCATCTCTGCCCGCTGCCTTTCCTGGTCTCAGACTCCGGATAGCCTTCAGTACTTCCTCAACAGATGGCACCTCAGCCAGCCACTCACAGGGGGTGACTTCTTCCAATATTTGAGGCACCGCAGCCTCAGCAGGGTCATCCTCACTTTGTGCCACGATGTTTTCCTGGCTGAGGGATTTTCCCTCCCCCAGGACCTCACAGAAATGCTCAGCAAATCTGCAAACCTGTTCCTGGGGGTCGGAGATTGGATCACCGTTTTTTTCCCCTAATGATGGTAATAGGTGTGGCGCTGCAGGTTACTTTTTTGATGGAGTTAAATAGAGATTTGTGATCACGGGCCACTGAGGCAGACTCCATCTCCTCAGCAACCCGCGACCACCACCCATCCTTGCAGCGCCTCACGGCTCTCCAAACCTCCGAGCGAAGGCTGCGGTAAGCCTCCTCATTCTCTGACGTGGGATTCTGTAGCCGATGACAGTGGGCCTGTCGCTTTTTCTCAACCATCCTGAACACCTCCTCTGTCAGCCAGGGTCTCTGGGGAGGTCTGGACCGCGTACCCAAAGCAGCCTAAACCTCGCCCATTTACCCTCGACATCAGGAGGAGTCGGGGACGATGCCAATCCCAGCCGCAAGCGATGATGAAATTCTCGCTTGCAACTTTCATCAGATAACTGAGACCAGGCCACTTTAGGTCGGAATGGGGTCCTGGGTGTACACCCACCATCGGAGTGGAAGAATGGCAGGCGCATCTTACAGATGACTAGTCGATGGTCAGAGGGCAGATCAGCTCCACGGTAGGTCCTGGTGTCAAGGACATGGGCTCGCATCCGCTGGTCCGTCACTATGTAGTCCAGCAGATGTTCTTGCTTGGACCCGGCATGCATCCATGATGTTGTGTGGATGCGCCGATGCCGGAACAGCGTGTTGGTAATTACAAGCCAATGGGCTGCACAAAAATCTAGCAGCCTCCTACCGTTGTTATTGAGCTGATCTGGCCCATGCCCTCCAATCCCTCTAGACCAGGTGCCAGCATCATGACCAACTCGGGCATTGAAGTCAACCAACAAGATGACTCTATCCCGAGGGGCCACTTTAGCCAGCACCTGTGACAGGAGGTCATAGAAGGCATCTGACTCATCGGCTTTGCCTGCATCCCTCCACGGATGTTCATCTTCGGTGGCGGCATAAGTAACCACGACCACAACTCCTCGCCTCCGGTTGATGGGAAGGCGAGCCCAAAGTAGCCTGGGGCTTACAGCTTCCCACACCTCACCGCCACGCTCCCACGCCCCCTTCATTCTTTTGTTCAAAAGAAGAGCCACACCCTGTTGTTTGGCAGTCTGCTGCCCCGAGTAGAGGACTGTCCACCCCTCATGGTGGCAGGAGCCAGAGCCGGTCCACCGGACCTCCTGAATGCCGCATAGATCCAGGCGGTACCGGTCCAGCTCCCGACAGAGGAGTGGCAGCCTCTCCTCCGCAGTGAGCGTTCGAACATTCCACGTGGCCACACGAAGTGGCTTTTCGTTGTTTCTGGAGGAGCCCCGAGGGTAGAGATTCAATCTCCTGGCTCCGCCAATTGGGGTTTGGCCAGGAGACGTCATAGACACCTGGCCCCCCCGCGACCTCCGGCACATGCTTATTAGTTACATATTTCAGTTTAACTCGTGGTTTAGTGGTAATTAATTGAAGGTGGAGGGGTTACCAGCCCCTCGCACCCGTCCAGAGCCCCCGTCCAGAGCCCCCGTCCAGAGCCCCCGTTTAGCCCGTGTGGTGGAGGAGCCAATCAAAATTGGACCTCCCCCCACAGCACTGTCCACGACAGAGTTGCCCGTCCGGCACTGCGAGGAGGTAGGGGGTTGTTTTGCCTACACACACAGTGACACACACACATACATACACACCACACACATACACACACATACATACACACATACATACACACACATACACACACATACACACACAGTGATACACCTACACACATACACACACACACCTACACACACACCTACACACACCTACACACAAAGACAAAGATCCCCCATATAGCCTTAACCGACTGTAGGGGCAAGTGCTGTTAGCGAGCACCTATGAAGGCCGGAACGGTACACGAGGGGGTGGGTGGCCAGCACCACGCCCGATCGCCTTTGTCTCCCTAGTGGCAATGTTTACACACCGCACCAGGTACTCATTTGAGGCTGAGTCGACCTAGGGGAGGCCCGGGACCACACACCTACACACACACACACCTACACACACACACCTACACACACACACCTACACACACACACACCTACACACACACCTACACACACACACACCTACACACACACCTACACACACACCTACACACACACACACCTACACACACACCTACACACACCTACACACACCTACACACACACACCTACACACACACCTACACACACACCTACACACACACCTACACACACCTACACACACACACCTACACACACACACCTACACACACACACACCTACACACCCCTACACACACACACACACACCTACACACACCTACACACACCTACACACACACCTACACACACACACACCTACACACCTACACACACACACCTACACACACACCTACACACACACACACACCTACACACACACCTACACACACACACACACCTACCTACACACACACACCTACACACACACACCTACACACACACCTACACACACCTACACACACACACACCTACACACACACACACCTACACACACACACCTACACACACACACACCTACACACCTACACACACACACCTACACACACACACCTACACACACACACACACCTACACACACACACACCTACACACACACCTACACACACACACCTACACACACACCTACACACACACACCTACACACACACCTACACACACACACACCTACACACACACACACCTACACACACACACACCTACACATACACACACCTACACACACACACCTACACACACCTACACACACACCTACACACACACCTACACACACACCTACACACACCTACACACACACCTACACACACACACCTACACACACACACCTACACACACCTACACACACACCTACACACACCTACACACACACACCTACACACACACACACACACCTACACACCTACACACACACACCTACACACACACACACCTACACACACACCTACACATACACACACACACCTACACACACACACCTACCTACACACACACACCTACACACACACACACCTACGCACACACACACCTACACACACACACCTACACACCTACACACACACACACCTACACACACACACCTACACACACACCTACACACACACACCTACACACACACCTACACACACACACCTACACACACACCTACACACACACCTACACACACACACGAGTGAGTAAGTGACTGAGCGAACGAGCGAGCGATATTTGAACAACACCGACCGTGAGGACTCTCCTCCTCCTCCACCGTGCGTGTTTGTGTGTTGGCGGTGGCTGGCCCCGCCCCTCGCCCCGCCCACCACCCCCTCGCCCCGCCCCTCGCCCCGCCCATTGCCCCCGCCCCCACCCACTCGCCCCCGCCCATCGCCCCGCCCCCCACCCCCCGGCCCCGCCCCCAGGAGCTGGCCGCGTGCCAGGAGGCGAGTCAGGAGCACGAGCTGCTGATGGGAGCCCTGACAGCGATGCAGGAGAAGACTCAGCACCTGGAGAACAGCCTGAGCGCCGAGACCCGCATCAAGCTGGACCTCTTCTCCGCCCTGGGCGACGCCAAGCGGCAGCTCGAGATCGCACACGGTGGGGTGACTCACTCACTCAGTCACTCACTCAGTCAGTCACTCAGTCACTCAGTCAGTCACTCAGTCAGTCACTCAGTCAGTCACTCAGTCACTCAGTCAGTCACTCAGTCACTCAGTCACTCACTCAGTCACTCACTCAGTCAGTCACTCACTCACTCAACCACTCACCCACCCACTCACCCACCCACTCACACACACACTCACTCAGTCACTCACTCAGTCACTCAGTCACTCACTCAGTCACTCAGTCACTCACTCAGTCACTCAGTCAGTCACTCAGTCACTCACTCAGTCAGTCAGTCACTCAGTCACTCACTCAGTCAGTCACTCACTCAGTCACTCACTCAGTCAGTCACTCAGTCACTCACTCAGTCACTCACTCACTGAGTCACTCACTCAGTCACTCAGTCACTCGCTCAGTCAGTCAGTCACTCAGTCAGTCACTCAGTCACTCACTCAGTCACTCACTCAGTCACTCAGTCACTCAGTCACTCACTCAGTCACTCAGTCACTCGCTCAGTCACTCACTCAGTCACTCAGTCGCTCGCTCAGTCACTCACTCAGTCGCTCACTCACTCAACCACTCAGTCACTCACTCACTCAGTCACTCACCCAGTCACTCAGTCACTCACTCAGTCACTCACTCAGTCACTCAGTCACTCGCTCAGTCACTCACTCAGTCACTCACTCAACCACTCAGTCACTCACTCACTCAGTCACTCACTCAGTCACTCACTCAGTCACTCACTCAGTCGCTCACTCAGCCGAGACCCGCATCAAGCTGGACCTCTTCTCCGCCCTGGGCGACGCCAAGCGGCAGCTCGAGATCGCACACGGTGGGGCGACTCACTTAGTCACTCACTCAGTCACTCAGTCACTCGCTCAGTCACTCGCTCAGTCAGTCACTCACTCAGTCACTCACTCAGTCACTCAGTCACTCACTCAGTCACTCGCTCAGTCAGTCAGTCACTCAGTCACTCACTCAGTCACTCAGTCACTCACTCAGTCAGCCAGTCACTCACTCAGTCACTCACTCAGTCACTCAGTCACTCGCTCAGTCAGTCACTCACTCACTCAGTCACTCAGTCAACCACTCAGTCAGTCACTCAGTCACTCACTCAGTCAGTCACTCACTCAGTCACTCAGTCACTCACTCAGTCACTCACTCAGTCACTCAGTTACTCACTTAGTCACTCAGTCACTCACTCACTCAGTCACTCACTCAGTCACTCACTCAGTCACTCACTCAGTCACTCACTCAGTCACCCACTCACTCAGTCACTCACTCAGTCAGTCACTCAGTCACTCACTCAGTCACTCACTCAGTCACTCAGTCACTCACTCAGTCACTCAGTCACTCACTCAGTCACTCACTCAGTCACTCAGTCACTCGCTCAGTCACTCACTCAGTCACTCAGTCACTTGCTCAGTCAGTCAGTCACTCAGTCACTCACTCAGTCACCCACTCACTCAGTCACTCACTCACTCAGTCACTCACTCAACCACTCACCCACCCACTCACACACACACTCACTCAGTCACTCACTCAGTCACTCAGTCACTCACTCAGTCACTCACTCAGTCACTCACTCAGTCACTCAGTCACTCGCTCAGTCACTCACTCAGTCACTGAGTCACTCACTCAGTCACTCACTCAGTCAGTCACTCAGTCACTCAGTCACTCACTCAGTCACTCACTCACTGAGTCACTCACTCAGTCGCTCGCTCAGTCACTCAGTCACTCACTCAGTCACTCGCTCAGTCACTCAGTCACTCGCTCAGTCACTCAGTCACTCACTCAGTCGCTCACTCAGCCGAGACCCGCATCAAGCTGGACCTCTTCTCCGCCCTGGGCGACGCCAAGCGGCAGCTCGAGATCGCACACGGTGGGGTGACTCACTCACTCAGTCAGTCACTCAGTCACTCAGTCACTCACTCAGTCACTCACTCAGTCACTCAGTCACTCACTCAGTCACTCAGTCACTCACTCAGTCACTCAGTCACTTGCTCAGTCAGTCACTCAGTCACTCAGTCAGTCAGTCACTCACTCAGTCACTGAGTCACTCACTCAGTCACTCAGTCACTTGCTCAGTCAGTCACTCAGTCACTCAATCAGTCAGTCACTCACTCAGTCACTCACTCAGTCAGTCACTCAGTCACTCAGTCACTCACTCAGTCACTCAGTCACTCGCTCAGTCACTCACTCAGTCACTCACTGAGTCACTCAGTCACTCACTCAGTCACTCAGTCACTCGCTCAGTCAGTCACTCAGTCAGTCGCTCGCTCAGTCACTCACCCACTCACTCAACCACTCACCCACCCACTCACCCACCCACTCACACACTCACTCACTCAGTCACTCACTCAGTCACTCACCCACCCACTCACACACACACTCACACACACACTCACTCAGTCACTCAGTCAGTCAGTCACTCGCTCAGTCACTCAGTCACTCACTCAGTCACTCGCTCAGTCACTTACTCAGTCAGTCACTCGCTCAGTCACTCAGTCACTCACTCAGTCACTCGCTCAGTCACTTACTCAGTCAGTCACTCGCTCAGTCACTCAGTCACTCACTCAGTCACTCGCTCAGTCACTCACTCAGTCTGTCGCTCGCTCAGTCACTCAGTCACTCGCCCGCTCAGTCACTCGCCCGCTCAGTCACTCGCCCGCTCAGTCACTCGCTGAGTCACTCAGTCACTCGCTCATTCACTCGCTCGCTCACTCACTCAGTCACTCGCCCGCTCAGTCACTCGCCCGCTCAGTCACTCGCCCGCTCAGTCACTCGCTGAGTCACTCAGTCACTCGCTCAGTCACTCGCTCGCTCAGTCACTCGCTCAGTCACTCAGTCGCCCGCTCAGTCACTCGCTCAGTCACTCAGTCACTCGCCCAGTCACTCGCTCAGTCACTCGCTCAGTCACTCGCTCAGTCACTCGCCCGCTCAGTCACTCGCCCGCTCAGTCACTCGCTCAGTCACTCGCTCAGTCGCTCACTCGCTCAGTCACTCGCTCAGTCGCTCAGTCACTCGCCCGCTCAGTCACTCGCTCAGTCACTCGCTCAGTCGGTCAGTCACTCGCCCGCTCAGTCACTCGCTCACCCACCCCCTCACCCCCCTGCCCCCCCCCCCCCCACCTGCCCCCCACAGGGCAGCTCCAGCTGAAGGAGGCGGAGATTGCGGAGCTGAAGCAGCGTGTGGCCGAGGCTCTGGCTGTCATGCCGAGCTCCCTCTACCCCCCCGCGCCCTCCCACTCCTCCTCGGCCCCCCACTCCTCCTCGGCCCCCCACTCCTCCTCGGCCCCCCACTCCGGGCCGGCGGCCGGGGCCGGCGGCGGGGTCGGCGGGGGGGCCGGCGGGGGGGTGGGCGGGGGGGTCGGCGGGGGGGCCGGCGGGGGGGCCGGCATGGTGGTCGTGGCTCCCCACTACTCGGCAAACTTCATGGAGAAGGCGCCGGGGGGAGGCGGCTCCGTCGTGGTGGGGGGTAGCGGCGGCGGTGGTGGGGGGGGCGGCGGTGGTGGTGGTGGTGGGGGGGGCGGCGGTGGTGGGGGGGGGCGGGGGGTCGTCTTTGTCGTCGTCGGCGGCGTCTTCACTCGATCCCAACGCCTGCATCTACCAGCCGCTGGGCAGCGGCAAGTAGGGTGGGGTGGGTGGGGGGAGGTAGGGTGGGTGGGGTGGGTGGGGGGAGGTAGGGTGGGTGGGTGGGGGGAGGTAGGGTGGGTGGGTGGGGTGTGTGGGTAGGGTGGGTAGGTAGGGTGGGCTAGGGTGGGTGGGTAGGGTGGGTAGGGTGGGTAGGGTTGGTAGGGTTGGTAGGGTGGGTAGGGTTGGTAGGGTGTTGTAGGGCTGGTAGGGTTGGTAGGGTGGGTAGGGTGTTGTGGGGTGGGTAGGGTTGGTAGGGTGTTGTAGGGTGGGTAGGGTTGGTAGGGTGGGTAGGGTAGGTAGGGTTGGTAGGGTTGGTAGGGTGTTGTAGGGTTGGTAGGGTTGGTAGGGTGGGGTAGGGTGGGTAGGGTTGGTAGAGTTGGTAGGGTGGGTAGGGTGGGTAGGGTGTTGTAGGGTTGGTAGGGTGGGGTAGGGTTGGTAGGGTGGGTAGGGTAGGGTTGGTAGGGTGGGTAGAGTTGGTAGGGTGTTGTAGGGTGGGTAGGGTGGGTAGGGTTGGTAGGGTGTTGTAGGGTGGGTAGGGTGTTGTAGGGTTGGTAGGGTTGTTAGGGTGGGGTAGGGTTGGTAGGGTGGGTAGGGTTGGTAGGGTTGGTAGGGTGGGTAGGGTTGGTAGGGTTGGTGGGGTGTTGTGGGGTGGGTAGGGTTGGTAGGGTTGGTAGGGTGTTGTGGGGTGTTGTAGGGTGGGGTAGGGTTGGTAGGGTTGGTAGGGTGGGTAGGGTGGGTAGGGTTGGTAGGGTGGGTAGGGTGGGTAGGGTTGGTAGGGTGGGTAGGGTTGGTAGGGTGGGTAGGGTTGGTAGGGTGGGTAGGGTGTTGTAGGGTGTTATAGGGTGGGTAGGGTGTTGTAGGGTGTTGTAGGGTTGGTAGGGTTGGTAGGGTTGGTAGGGTGTTGTAGGGTGGGTAGGGTTGGTAGGGTTGGTAGGGTGGGTAGGGTTGGTAGGGTGGGTGGGGTGGGTAGGGTTGGTAGGGTTGGTAGGGTGGGTAGGGTTGGTAGGGTTGAGTAGGGTGTTGTGGGGTGGGTAGGGTTGGTAGGGTTGGTAGGGTGGGTAGGGTTGGTAGGGTGTTGTAGGGTTGGTAGGGTTGGTAGGGTGGGTAGGGTGGGTAGGGTGGGGTAGGGTTGGTAGGGTTGGTAGGGTGGGGTAGGGTTGGTAGGGTTGGTAGGGTGGGTAGGGTGGGTAGGGTGGGGTAGGATTGGTAGGGTGGGTAGGGTGGGGTAGGGTTGGGTAGGGTTGGTAGGGTTGGTAGGGTGGGTAGGGTGGGTAGGGTGGGGTAGGGTTGGTAGGGTTGGTAGGGTGTTGTAGGGTTGGTAGGGTGGGGTAGGGTTGGTAGGGTTGGTAGGGTGGGTAGGGTTGGTAGGGTGGGTAGGGTGGGTGGGGTGTTGTAGGGTGGGGTAGGGTTGGTAGGGTGTTGTAGGGTTGGTAGGGTGGTTAGGGTTGGTAGGGTGGTTAGGGTTGGTAGGGTGGTTAGGGTTGGTAGGGTTGGTAGGGTGTTGTGGGGTTGGTAGGGTTGGTAGGGTTGGTAGGGTGGGTAGGGTGTTGTAGGGTTGGTAGGGTGGGTAGGGTGGGTAGGGTGTTGTAGGGTGGGTAGGGTTGGTAGGGTTGGTAGGGTGGGTAGGGTTGGTAGGGTTGGTAGGGTGTTGTAGGGTGTTGTAGGGTTGGTAGGGTGTTGTAGGGTTGGTAGGGTTGGTAGGGTTGGTAGGGTGGGTGGGTAGGGTTGGTAGGGTGGGTTGGGTTGGTAGGGTGTTGTGGGGTGGGTAGGGTTGGTAGGGTGTTGTGGGGTGGGTAGGGTTGGTAGGGTGTTGTGGGGTGGGTAGGGTTGGTAGGGTGTTGTAGGGTGGGTAGGGTTGGTAGGGTGTTGTAGGGTGGGTAGGGTGTTGTAGGGTTGGCAGGGTGTTGTGGGGTGGGGTGGGTGAGAGGTGGGTGGACAGGTGAATGGGACCTAGTGAGTTGTAGCAGGAGAGGCACGCTGTGAGTTGTTGTTGTTGTTGGGTGGTGGTTGTGGTGGTGGTTGTGGTGGTTGTTGTTGGTTTTGGTTGTTGTTGTGGTTGTTGGTGGCGCTGTTTTGTCCTCTTTGGTGAGAGCGGCTCGGAGAGTGGCGGCGGTGGTGACGGTGATTGTCTCAAGGACCACTACCTGGGCCTCCCCTAGGTCGACTCAGCCTCAACCCAATCTCACCGTTCATTGGTTCCCCACCCACCCCTCCCCTCCACCCTCTCCCCCCCAACTCTCACTGTTCATTGGCTCCCCACCCACCCCTCTCCCCCCAACTCTCACCGTTCATTGGCTCCCTACTCACCCCTCCCCCCCACCCTCTCCCCCCCAACTCTCACTGTTCATTGGCTCCCCCCCCACCCTCTCCCCCCCCAACTCTCACTGTTCATTGGCTCCCCACCCTCTCCCCCCCCAATCTCACTGTTCATTGGCTCCCCACCCCACCCTCTCCCCCCCAACTCTCACTGTTCATTGGCTCCCCACCCACCCCTCCCCCCCACAACTCTCACTGTTCATTGGCTCCCCCCCACCCTCTCCGCCCCAACTCTCACTGTTCATTGGCTCCCCACCCAACCGTCTCCCCCCCACCCTCTCCCCCCCAACTCTCACTGTTCATTGGCTCCCCACCCACCCCTCCCCCCCACCCTCTCCTACCCCCTTTCCTGCCAAGTCTCAACGTTCATTCCCCCACCCCCTGCCCATATTAGGCCTCGCCCACAGACATGCTCATTAACATAACCCCGCCCCCTGAAGTCTTGCGCGCCCCCCCCCCCCCAAGCCTCGTCGTTAATTGGCTCCCACCCTCCCATATTAGGCCTCGCCCACAGCCAACCTCATTAGCATAACCCCCTCAAGTCTTGCCCCTCCCCGCCATCGCTCACCATTGATTGGCTCCCCCCCCCCCCATATTAGGCTTCGCCCACGGTCATCCTCATTAACATAATGCCCCCCCGGGCCCCTCCCTAATTGTGCCCCCACCATTTTTTTCGATGGGGAGGGGGGGGAGTTGTCAACCAATCCCAGTGGCTCGTCGTTTTGTCATTATCATATTAGGCCCCACCCTCTATCCCGCCTGTCGCCTGATTGGTTGGGGAGTGGTTGGGAGGGGGGGTGCCCCCCCCCGCGCCTTGGTTGTGATTCGTGAATTCATTCATTAAATATTTTCATGCAAAAAAAACCGAGAATATTTATTTACGATGTGGATCAAACTAAATCCCACCCACTCAATAACTCACTCAATAACTCACTCACTTAAAGACTCACTCACCCACTCAATAACTCACTCACCCACTCACTCAATCACTCACTCACCCACTCAATCACTCACCCACCCACTCAATAACTCACTCATCCACTCACTCAATAACTCACTCAAAGACTCACTCACTCAATAACTCACGCACCCACTCAATAACTAACTCAATAACTCACTCACCCACTCAATAACTCACTCACTCAAAGACTCATCCACTCACTCAATAACTCACTCATCCACTCACTCAATAACTCACTCAAAAACTCACTCACTCACCCACTCACTTAATCACTCACCCATTCAATCACTCACCCACTCACTCAATAACTCACTCAAAGACTCACTCACCCACTCACTCACCCACTCACTCAATCACTCACTCAATAACTCACTCATCCACTCACTCAATAACTCACTCACTCAATAACTCACCCACTCAATAACTCACCCACTCAATAACTCACCCACTCACTCAATCACTCACCCACCCACTCACTCAATAACTCACCCACCCACCCACTCAATAACTCACTCACTCAATAACTCACTCAATAACTCACTCACCCACTCACTCAATAACTCACCCACTCACTCAATAACTCACCTACCCACTCACTCACCCACTCACTCACCCACTCACTCAATAACTCACTCACTCACCCACTCAATCACTCACCCATTCAATCACTCACCCACTCACTTAATCACTCACCCATTCAATCACTCGCTCACCCACTCAATCACTCACCCACTCACTCAATCACTCACCCACTCAATCACCCACTTAAAATCACTCACCCATTCAATCACTCACCCACTCACTCACCCACTCAATCACTCACCCACTCATTCACCCACGCAATCATTCACCCATTCAATCACTCACTCAAACACTCACCCACTCATTCACCTACTCAATCACTAACCCACTCAATCACTCACTCACTCATTCACCCACTCACTCACCCACTCAATCACTCACCCACTCATTCACTCACCCACTCAATCACTCACCCACCCAATCACTCACCCACTCAATCACTCACTAACCCACTCATTCACTCACCCAGTCACTCAATCACTCACCCAATCACTCAATCACTCACCCACTCAGTCACCCACTCAATCACTCACTCACCCACTAAATAACTCACTCAATCACCCACTCACCCATTCAATCACTCACTCACCCACTCAATAACTCACCCACCCAATCACTCACCCACTCAATCACCCACCTAATCAATCACCCACTCAATCACTCAATAACCCACTCAATCACTCACCCACTCAATCACTCATTCAATCACCCACCTACCCAATCACTCACCCACACAGCCACTCACCCACTGAGGCTCACAGAGCCAGACTGAGGCTCCCACAGGGTTCAGTGTTAATCACTGAGACTCACAGAGCCAGACTGAGGCTCCCACAGGGTTCAGTGTTAATCACTGAGACTCACAGAGCCAGACTGAGGCTCCCACAGGGTTCAGTGTTTATCACTGAGACTCACAGAGCCAGACTAAGGCTCCCACAGGGTTCAGTGTTAATCACTGAGGCTTACAGAGCCAGACTGAGGCTCCCACAGGGTTCAGTGTT